GCAGCCAGGGTTGATCTCCTCTAGGACTGACTGGTTTGGTTGCCTTGAGGTCCAGGGGACTCGCAGGAGTCTCCTCCAGCACCACAATTCAAAGGCCTCAATTCTTCGGTGCTCAGCCTTCCTTATGGTCCAGCTTTCACAGCCATACATTGCAACTGGGAAAACCATCGCCTTGACTATACGCACTTTTGTTGGCAGGGTGATGTCTCTGCTTTTTAGTATGCTGTCTAGATTGGCCATAACTTTCCTCCCCAGGAGCAAGCGTCTTTTAATTTCTTAGCTGCATCCCCATCTGCAGTGATCTTGGAGCCCAGGAAAATAAAATCTGTCACTACCTCCATTTCTTCCCCATCTATTTGCCAGGAAGTGAGAGGACCGGATGCCATGATCTTAGTTTTCTTAATGTTGAGTTTCAAGCCAACTTTTGAGCTCTCCTCCTTCACCCGCATCAAGAGGCTCTTTAGTTCCTCTTCACTTTCTGCCATGAGAGTGGTATCATCTGCATATCTGAGGTTGTTGATATTTCTCCCAGCAATCTGAATTCCAACTGGTGATTCATCGAGCCCCACCTTTCTCATGATGTGCTCTGCATATAAGTTAAATAGGCAGGGCAACAGTATACAGCCTTGCCAAACTCCTTTCTCAATTTTGAACCAATCAGTGGTTCCGTGCCCGGTTCTGTTGTTTCTTGACACGCATATAGGCTTTTCAAGAGACAAATGAGATGGTCTGGTACTCCCATCTCTTTAAGAACTTGCCACAATTTGTGATCCACACATTCAAAGGCTTTAGCGTAGTCAGTGAAGCAGATGTTTTTCTGGAACTTCTAGCTTTCTCCATGATACAGCACATGTTGGCAATTTGATCTCTAGTTCCTCTGCCTCTTTGAAACCCTACCTGTACTTCTGGTAGTTCTCAGTTCACATACTGCAGGAGCCTAGCTTGTAGGATTTTGAGCATCACTTTGCTAGCATGTGAAATGAGTGCAATGGTGTGGTAGTTTGAACACTCCTTGGCATTGCCCTTCTTTGGGATCGGAATGTAAACTGACCTTTTCCAATTCTGTGGCCACTGCTGAGTTTTCCAAATTTGCTGGCATATTGAGTGCAGCACTTTAACTGCATCGTCTTTTAGGATTTTGAATAGCTCAGCTGGAATACTGTCACCTCCACTAGCTTTGTTGTTGCTCAGACTTCCTAAGGCCCATTTGACTTCACATTCCAGGATGACTCAATGTCAGTGACCACCCCATCGTGGTTATCAGGGACGTTAAGCTCTTTCTTGTATAGTTCTTCTGTGTAATCTTGCCACCTCTTCTTAATCTCTTCTGCCTCTGTTAGGTCCCTGCCATTTTGGTCCTTTATCATGCCCTTCTTTGCATGAAACGTTCCCTTCATATCTCCAATTTTCTCAAGAGCTCTCTGGCCCTCCCTATTCCATTGTTTTCCTCTATTTCTTTGCACCGTTCATTGAAGAAGGCATTCTTAGCTCTTCTAGCTATTCTCTGGAATTCTGCATTCAGTTGGGTGTATCTTTCTCTTTCTCCCTTGCCTTTTGCTTCCCTTCTTTTTTCAGGTATTTGTAAAGCTTCCTCAGACAGCCATTTTGCTTTCTTGCATTTCTTTTTCTTTGGGATGGTTTTAGTTGCTACCCCTTGTACAATGTTGCGAACCTCCGTCCATAGTTCTTCAGGCACTCTGTCTATCAGATCTAATTCCTTAAATCTATTTGTCACCTCTACTGTCTATTCATCAGGGATATGGTTTTAGGTCATACCTGAGTGGCCTAGTGCTTTTCCCTGCTTTCTTCAATTTAAGCCTAAATTTTGCAACATCCCATAAGTACCCCTCTTTAAATATTGAATACTTTTGTAGAATCTGAATGTTTGCAATATATTTGAAAGGAGGTAGGGGGAAAGATTAACAAGAGGCAAGTTTAGAATGCACCTTTTATTTAAGTAAAAAAACAAAAACCAGATAAAGTGGGCATGGGAAACCAGAGCTTTTCTTAATACTCTTTGCTATATGATAGTATTCCTCTTTTGCTTGTTGCCACCCTAAGAAATAACAAATAATTGTTCTAGCCTAGTTTTAAGGTTGTCCAGCTAAGCCATCTACTGGAAAATTGATCTTTCACCTGTTTAGAGTTTCTCTTCGGAAACATTTTCAATATATATTTATATATTTATATATATATGTATATTTTATACAGGATATACAGATTGGAGACGAGACACTTTAAAACACGGGACTGTAGCCGCAACACCCTGGCAGCTGCGTTGGAGCGAGTCACGTTGGGTCCACCAGCTGCAGAAACCACACGACCAGGGCGATTCTCGAGTGCCAGGAACACGGGAGGGAGGGAGGGAGGCGACGCGCTCTTTCCTCGAACACGTCAAGGCTTGTGTGATTCCAACATGTGCAGTTCCATAGCCCTGTGGAAGGGGGAAAGAAAAACCACCCACAAATTATATACAATGTAAACATCACAAGGCGTGGAATTCTTCCACTCCGGGCGGGCGGCTCCGAGGCCGGTGCGAGAGGCTAACAGTCCTCGTCGGGGTCCCGGGACTTCTTGTGCAGCGCGCGGTTGAAGCTGTGGCAGGCGGGCACCCAGCGGTTGTCGTGCAGGCCGAGCCTGCACCCGGGAACGCTCTTCTGCGACCGGTGGCAGCACATCCAGTAGCCCGGCCCGTAGGGCAGCGCCTGGCAGTAGGGCTTGGGGTGCCAGCGGCACAGGGAGACGTCCCCCCGGGTGTACGTCTTCTTGCACTGCTTGCAGGGGTCCTCCCGGTAGCGCGGGTCGCGCACCCAGCGGGAGTCGGCCGGCCGGACGTTGTAGTACTCGATGATGAACTTGAAGTAGCCGCAGGAGCACTTGAGCGCCACCAGGCTGCGGGTGGGCAGCAGGCCGAAGATCTTGACGATGAGGTGGTGGGGCAGGAAGACCAGGTACTGCTGGGGCTCCAGGAGCTGCTGGATCTTGAAGCGGGTCTCCAGGAAGTCGTGCGAGCGCTGCCTTTTGAGGCGGGACGCGTCGGGGGGCTGCAGCCCGCCCTCCGAGGGAGACTCGGGGGGCTCCCCGGGAGGGCGGCTCCTGGGGCAGGGGTCGCCCGCGGGAGGCACTGCCTTCCCTCGACCCTCCTCGGGCGGAGTCTCCCCTGACGAGAGGCCCCGCGGGGGGATTTCGCACTCGGAGAGAAGCAGGAACAGCCGCCCCGGAAGAGAGTCCTCGCCGAAGCCCGAACCGGACGGGTGGGTCGATCTGCCGTCCGTCTCAGCCTTGGGGGCAGCGAGGTTCATGCTCAGGGACTCCCTCACTCGGTCGCCGGGACTCCAGCTCAGGAGAACGGAAGGCTCTTCGGGGGAGCCGTCCCCAGTCGCGTCGCGTCTCCGTGAGGAACGTGGGGACCCCCGAGCGACATCTGGCCATGCAGCGGGGCGCGGCCGGGCGGCCCTGGTGGAATCGCGGCACGGGGCCGAAGCGGCGGAATCCCCCCGGTCCGGCCGATGGTCGCCGGTCCCTCCGGGGGCCTCTGGGCACGGCGGCAACGGGCCCGCGGGGGGGTCCTCCGCCGAACAGCCCTGCTTGGGCCGCCACCCTTCCTCCCCGCCGGCCCGCTGTTCCGGCGGGAGAGCGTCCGCCAGCCCCCTCCCAGCCTCGTTCTCGGGGGGCGCCCCGCTGGCCAGGAGCACCCGCCCCACGTTCCGCCGGAAGCTGTTGCTCCGGGACAGGCTGCCCGCCTCGCGCTCGCTCCGCTGCCGCAGGCACTCCGACTCCAGCTTGGCCACCATGTCCAGCACGCGCAGCGGCTCGCCCGGCGGCTCCCCCTCGCCGCCGCTGCCGCCGCCCCCGCCAGGGGCCTTCTCGGGATGGGCCTCCGGGGCGGGAAAGGGCCCGGGGGCGGGAGGGGCCCCCTTGGGCGGCCCGGGAAGCCTGGTCAGGGCAGAGGCGCCGGGGCAGCTTTTGGCGCAGCCGGCCAGCAGGACGCTGGCCCGCTGCTCCAGGAACGCCACCATCTCCACGACGGAGAGCGGCCGGCCCGGGAACGCGCCTTCCGCGCCGTCGTCCGCGTGGTGCACGGAGCAGTGCTCAACGCTGCAGGCGAAGGGCTCCGGCTGGAAGCACCTCCCGCCGACCGCCCGCATCCGCTCCAGGCGCACCGCGGCCTTCTGGAGGCCCAGCGAGCGCTTCCGGCGCTTGGTCGCCCGCCCGTCGATGTCCCAGCTGCTCTTGCTCTTCACGGAGGAGGCCCGGGGGTCGCCACCCTGCTCCTGCCCCGCGAAGAAGGCCACCTTCTCCCGCGTGTTGCCCGGCTTCACGAGGGCCCAGATCTCCAGCGGTCCCTCCCCCTCGTCCCCCTGGTGGATCGTGGCGGGCAGGGCGGCCCCCCGCTCCTGGGGGCCGGGCCCGCCCCCACCTCCGCCGCCACTGCCCCTCTTGCAGACCATGTCGGGCGGGAGGCCTCCCCGGGGCCTCCAGAGGGCCGGCGGGGCCGGCGCGAGGCCGGGCTTGGTGCTGCTCGGCTTCCCCTCATTGGCCAGCCGCTGCGGGCTCATGGGGGGGCTCCGCGGGGCGTCTGCGCTGGCCTCGAGGGACCTCTCCTTCTTCTGCAATTTGAGATAGGGCTTCAGGTGCAGGCCGGATATCCTGGGGAAGAGAAAGGGGGACGTCTTAAGACCGGTTCATCTGCAGGCAGAGCAGCCGGGAAGGGAACGCAGCTCTCCAAGATGGAGAGGCGGGAGCCCCGGGCAGCTTCTGTGCACGGGTCTGCCAGGACGTGTGGGCGGCCAGGCGGAGGGATGGCCCTTCGGCCCTCACAGATCCCGGTCCCCCGAGAGCCAGACCACACGCTCGGGCCCCATTCCCAAGGTTCGGAGGCCCTGGAGGGAGGGAGGGAGGGAGGCAGGGAGGGAGGCAGGGCTTCTCGGACAGCCCCCAGGATCTGCCTCTCGCGGGAGGGCTCCCCAGAACGGCCGCAGCCGGTATGCATCCACGGCAGCCGGTACTCAGCCTCACACGCCCCTCTCAGAACCGCACGGACACTCCTGGCAGACCTTTTCAGGTTTTCAGGTCCTGTGACCACCGCGATCGTTTCTGACTTTTTCCCAGGTTGCCTCAGACTTTACTACCGAGCATTATCTGTCACTGGCAACCACACTCAGCTTGCATAGAGCCCCAGAACAGTCGGGCTGGAAGGGGCCAGAAGGCCTTTGGGCCCAAGCCGCTGCGGTGGCAGGACCTGAGTCGCCCCGTCCCACTCAGACGGCTGCCCGGAGGCCTTTGGAGGGTCTCCAAGCGAGGGAGAGCCCACGGCTTCCCAGGTCACCGGTCCCACTGCACTGACGGCGAGGGAACCCTTTCCAGTGTCTACTCTAAAGCTGGTGTCTCTTAACTTCAGCCCGTGATTCTGTGTCCTGCACCCTGGGAAGACGGAGCGGGGTGCTGGCCCTCCTCTTGGCAAGCCTTTCAGGCCACCACCTCCCCCTCAGCTTCTCTTCCTGAGGCCGCACATGCCCAGCTCTTTCCCCATGCCAAGGACTTGACTGGGTTGATCCCAGGACACCTGCTGAAGATTTTTGGGAACCTAAGGGTACACCAGCCCCACTGGATCCCTGTGACTCCTCCTTTCCGTATATTAGCTATCAGCTAGGAAGACTTCACAGATGGTTCCTGACCGAGCAGTGTGGCGTAGTGGTTACAGTTCAAGCTGAGGTTCAAGCCCCCACTTGGCCCTGAAGTTTGCTGAACGGCTTCGTATCAGTCACTGCCTCTCAGCTGAACTCACAGGGTAGTTGTGAGGATCGACTGGAGAGCAAGAGAATCCCGTTAGCCACCTGGGGCTTCTGCGAGGCAAAGGCAGGATAGAAATGCATTTCCCGGGACATGAAGCAGCGTTACACCTCTCCTGGAAACCCAATCCCCACCCCCGGCCTCGTTCTTTCTTTAAAATGTGCATTTCACTCCAAAGGGACTCCCAAAACAGGCAAGCATCTAACTTTTCTGCTGACGGGCTGGGGGAGGACTGTACCGTTTGGCCGGATGGAAGGTGGCGGATGCGGAAGTCAGCAGTTCCCTGTGGAGACCAGCTCGGCAGGAGTTCTTCATCGTCACTCTCCCCGCACCTCCTCTGGCGGCAGGTCGTCACAGCCAGTCCATCTCTGTCCGCGGCCGGGGCTCCTGCAGCGGCTCGTGTTGTCCCACACGGTGGCCCACGGGGCCTCTGGCACCTGAACAGCGCTGGGGAGAGGAGGGGAGGGGAGGGCCCGCCATGAGGCTCAGGACACGAGGGCCAGTGGTCCCTGGCGCGCTTCCAGGCCCCGGGAGGCGGGGGGCACCAGCTCCTCGGGTGAGGCTGGGAAGGAGGCCTGCGGAGATGGGGTTACAGGGCAGGGAGCTTATCGGAAGGGTGCCAGGAAGCACTTCCTGACAGTTAGGACCCCAGGGGTGTGGAATGGGCTTCCACGGGGGGTCGTTGAGGCCCCATCGGTGCGGGTGTTCAAGGACAGGCTGGACATGCACATGGTGGGCATGTTGTGAGCGGAGCCGGCTGGAGCCAGGGGTCAGACTAGATGGCCCGGGAGACCCCTTCTGACTCGCTCCGTTTCTCTGTTTCTATGACCACGACTCCGGGTGTTCAGGCAGACCCTAGGGACTGACAGGGTTTGGAAGTGCCGGGAGGGACATGCAGGGAGCAAGAGGGGTCCCAGATCTCACGGCATGAAGCCGGGCTAGAAGGGCTCCCCGGTCAGAGGGCCTGCGTAGGCCTAGGAGGTTCGACCTTCTCCATGGGTTATTGAAAAGCAGGCTTCTCAGAAAGAGTTTCTCGGCTGGGGTCCACAAACCACTCTGCGTATGTGCAGAAGCTCCTCCTCTGTTGACTACTACTTTCCAGCTGGCTGTATGCTGGAAATAAAGCGCTTTTTGCCAAAGAACGGCCTGCTCTTTGAAAGGAGCGGGGAGCCCTGGCTGGCGCTAGCTATGCACATTCCAGCAGCAAGCAAGGCAGCCAGGACTCGGGGAAATTCGGGGATCAGGCGTGGCCTCAGACCAGAGCAATGCTCTCTTCCCCAGCCTGCTGATCCCCGGATGCTCAGGACCGGCTCCTCCCACAGCCCGAGTCAGCGTGGCCAGTGGCCAGGAATCCTAGGAGGCGGCCTCTAAACCGTCCGGAGGGCACCAAGGCCGAGAAGGCTGAATGGAGGGCCTGCAATGATGGGTGCAGAGGCACCTCGGGGTCCCAGGCAAGGGTCCTTTCCGGCCCGGGATCCAGCCAAGGGCCGCCTCCTACCTATAACACAGGTGCTCCACTGCTGAGCTACAGCCCTTCTCCTTTATTAGTCTGCCGCTATGAAAAACGGCTGAGCCTGCATCTGATGAAAGCTGGGTGACAGGGCAGCCCTCTGACGGGAGGGCCCGGATGTCTCGTGCCCCGCGGCTCCAGGCACAGCTAGCACCTGCACCCGAGGGTCTGGCAGTTCGCCATCTTTAAAAAATGAGGAATTGCTCCTATACTATAATGGTCTTTTTTGGCTTGTCCCCTTCCACGACTCTCTGGAGCAGCAAAACCGGCCGCGCAGCTGGAACACAGGGCTGGCTTTCCAAGTCTGAGCAACACGTCGGGGTCCCGGGGAACAGAGGCGCTGCTGCTGGCCGTGGCCCACAGTCCAAGGGGACCACCGAGCCCGCTTCGGGGCCGGGAGATTTTCCATTCAGCTCTTCGAGCTTCTCGCCCACATGGGCCCACCCCAACCTGCAGAGGTGGGACTCACGGGGCCTGAAAGCGCAAAGCGCGCACCCTACGGGCAGCTCACAGGGCACAGCGCAAGACCCTGACTTGGGGGTGGGGGTGGGCTCCTAGCACTGAGGCCTTTTGGACAAGGGGCGGCTGATTATCTGGGCAACTCGTGGTCGGGTCAAGGACACCAGCGGGCTGGCCGCTTGTGGGTTCTTCCGAGCTTTCTGCTCTCACTCGGGGGCCCAGGATAGCTTCACACACCACAGGATGTTGGCCCTGCTCAGACTTCCTTCTGGATCTGGCCCAATATTCTGCAGATCGCCACCTTCCCGCCTCTGCCATTTTAAAGGCACGTCCATGCCTCACGGTTACAGGAAGAAGGTCCAAAGCATGCTGGCTGCACCTCAGCCGTGGAGCCAAGGAGGGCCGGGGGGGGGGGCAGTCCCCAGTGGGCTTCACAGCCCCCTCCCACTCTCACACGACCATCCCGCGCTGCCGGCTGCCCAGACCCTCCCTGCTCGCCATTTTTCAGGAAAGAAATCGCAAATCCGAGGTGGGTGGACGCCACACAGGGAGCCGCGGCCTGGAACCTGCAAGAGCCGAGCAGGGCCGTGCGTGGCGCTTTCCTTCACAGGCTGGCTCGAGTCGGACACGGTGTGACAGCGGAGAGCGGGCGCCTGAGGAGAGACAGAGGCCCTGGGCACCAACAGGGCCTCGAGCCCTCGCGGAAGACAGCTCGGTGGGGAAGCACAGACGGGGGCCTCACAGGCCCCGCCGCTCTCCATCGGCGCTGATCCAGCTCTTCCACGATGTGTGGGCAGCTCCGAGCCGTCTCTGTGCTTCTTCTTACACCGAGGGCCAAGAGGACGGCTGTCACGGGCAATCGATCCCGGGGGACCTGTCCCTCCGCCGAGCTGTTCTGACCTGGGAAACTTCCTTTATACCGCGTCCCTGCCCTGGTGCCCCTCCGGAAGTGGAGCCCAGCCCTGGGGCAGGAATCCTGGAAGGGAGCTCCCGACAGCACCCAAAGAAGCCGAGCAGGAGAGAAATGGGTCTGGCTAGCTTGGCACTGACTCTGCCGGGAGGGGCTGTCCAGGGTCTCGGACACGGGTCTTTCCCAGCCCTCCCTGAGCAGCCCAGGAGAGAACCTCCCCAGCCCTCCTGCTGAGCGGCCGCACTGCCCCAAGACTAGGACGCTGACCGGCACCATCCCCAAATTCACACTGGCATTTCCACACGTTGATGGGAGGCACAAGATGCCCCTTGTTCTCTTGTGCAACACCATCGGGAGCCCTGAGTGCCCCTCCTGCCCACTGGCCCACAACCGGGGAGCCTGAAAGGCTGGCTTTTGGCATGCCGTCTTCTGGCACGGGGCGGGGAGCCTCCGTCTGCGAGCAGACCAGAGTGTTCTCTGCCCCCCGGAGTACAACGCTCTGTGGGAGCAGTCCCCTGGCAACCCCCCTCGCCGGCTTCCGACCCTCTCTGCGTCCCGCACAAATTCCTGGATCTCCTTCCGGGGCCCGCCACCCGTTTGCTCAGCCCTCAGCTCCTCTCTCTCAACTCGACTGCCCCCGGGTGGCCAGAGATGCCCCGCTTCCCTCAGACAAGCCCGCCCGCACGCAACGCACTTGCCCCCCAGTGCCACTGCTCCCCCTTCCCCTCCAGCCCCTCCTCAAAGCCCGCCTTGGCCACGGCTCATGTTAGCAAGTGCCAGGTACAATGCCCATCATGCCCGATAGCTGGGTGATGGGAGTTGCAGAACAGAGGCAGCTGGGAAAGGCTGGCTCACACGCCTGAAGGCAGGCAGAGGGTTTCCGTGCGAGCCCACCCCGCATCCCGGCTCCCGATTCCTCTCTTCCGGCCGGCCTGCCTCCCCTTGCCCGTCCAACCCCGGAAGGCAGGCATGAAAGGCAGTGCGCTTCCCCAAGGGACTCGGATCTCCCTTTAATGTCTTTGCTAGTTGTAATATTCTCGTATCTATTATTTCCTTTTGTAAACTGTGCGCCACCTTTTTGGGTTTTTTGTCATAAGGCAGCACATGCATGCAGAGTTTTTTAGACAGATGCCAGCCCTGCGTCCTCGGGCTTCACATGAGCATGAGGACGAGGCCAAAGGCTTAAGGGGAAGGCGGGCCTTGAGGGGGGATCAGAGGGAAGAGAGAGAGGTCGCACCACACGGGCGTTTCGGGAGAGAACCTGGACCGAAGGGGGAGTGCCAGGAGGCTGGCCTGTCCCCTCGGCAGCAACACCAACGCCACCTGGAAGGAAGCTGGCATCCGGGACGTCCCTGGGCAACCGCCTGCACTGGACATTCCACAGGCCGAGCGCCTCTTCCTGCCACCTGCCAGCACACACCGGCCAAAAGCCCTCGTTTGACGTCACACGCGGATCGATAGCAGAGCCCTGCCTTGTGGAGGAGCCAGGAGAGCAGCCCACGCACCTTCCTTTCCCCCTCTGCGGGGCTCACGTCGCAACCCCGGGGATGTCTCGGAACTGATCAGATTAGGCAGTGGGCCGTGCCAGGAAGGGCAGGCAAAGCCGCACCACCCCCATTCCAAACCCCGGTCCAGTCCGGCTTGCACCAGCCAGCGGGTGTGCGAGGGAACGAACTTCAGCGTGGGACTGTCGGACCGTGGAAATGAAGGGCCCGCAAAGCTGCGCCACCCCCATTCCAAACCCCGGTCCAGTCCGGCTTGCACCAGCCAGCGGGTGTGCGAGGGAACGAACTTCAGCGTGGGACTGTCGGCGGGCAGCCCACCGAGAGCGGCTGAGGGAGCGCGAAGCAATGGGATCCGTTCCTGTGCAAACTCCCCGTGTTTTATAGCACTGTGGTCGTTTTCGTGCATCACCGCCACACCTCTGCAAATGCTGCCATGCAAAAGCTGCCATGCATTTTTCAACAGCCGAGGAACAGACAAGCAGGACTCTTCCGAGGAGGAAAAAACTGTTCAGGGCTCTTGGCCCCTGCAGTGTGGCTCATGAATAACCGGGAAAAATAAACAGGGGTGACTTTTCCGAACAGCGGTCGCACGTGGCCAGAGCATTCGATCCTAGTTTTCATGTGGAGACCCAGGCGGAGCAGCTGCCCGCGTTTCACATGCGTACGCACGCACGCAGATGCCATAAAGAGCTTCTTTCTGGGAAAACACTAAAGAGAGATAATGGCAGTGAAAAGGACGAGTTCATACTATTTTTAATTACACGCATCCCCCTGGCCTTTCCCTGCATAAAGGAGATGAGGAGTTGCTACTCCATGGGTGGAGATAAACACACATTAACTGACCGATTATCCCCTCCCTCAATCAAACGTGGAGGCAATTTCCGCACAACTGGGTAACGTACACGAATACAGTCTGACGCTATTTTCAAACTTCACAGCACCTGAATTTGGTGCTTGCTGGGCCTCTGTACATACGTCACAACCACACCAGTGTGGCTGCACAAACCACAGACAGGCCTTCAGTTCACCCCAGAAAGGCAAAAAAAAACCCCATTTGTCAGAG